AGTAGAGATGGCTGGCCCACAGAAGGCCCCACTTTAGGTAACTAGTAGAGATGGCTGGCCCACAGAAGGCCCCACTTTAGGTAACTAGTAGAGATAGCTGGCCCACAGAAGGCCCCACTTTAGGTAACTAGTAGAGATCCTTTGGTGCACAAATGGCGCCACTTTAGATAGCTGCCCTGTGACCTCACCACCATGCCCCTTGCTCCATAAAAGCTGGAGATTGAAGTCCTGAGTGGGTGGAGAAGAGGGGCCGAGAATAGCCGAGTGCTGCCTGGATCATTCCTGTCTGGATCCGTCTCCCCAATCCCCCCTGTAAGTTATCCTGAAAGAAACTACGTAAATGGGATGGAGTGGCTTGCTTTGTTTTTCAGTCTTAAAGTGCCTTTACATTATAGAGGATACTTTACTGACCCTCTTCCATCTTCTAACAGTATCCTGGGTTTAGGGTATCTACGCATATCCAGGTGGAGCTGGCCATTGGATATATAAATCTGGCTTTCAGGCAAGAGGTCTAAGCTGGGGATGTAAATGTGGAAGTTGTTGGCATATAGACGATGTTTCAAGCCACAGGACCGGGTGAAATCTCTAAGGGAGCGGTGCAAATAGAATAGCTCCCAGAACTGGGCTCTGATGTCCTCCCACAGTAAGCGTTGAGAGAGGAGACTGGGACGTCAGCTAGCGAGGCAGGAAGAGAAGCAAGTGGGTGTGGTGGCCTGGAAGTCAGATGAGGGAAGTGCAGGCCGCCCTCCCTTTGCATGGAGCTCCGAACTTTAAAAGCAACCATGTCAAACAGTCTTAATAATCGATGGGAAAATTTACTGTTCTGTGACCTTTAAAAATTTCTGTCAAAACATGAGAAACTCTGATGGTTATATATGTATAAGGAAGTGAAAAATTAGTAAGACCAATTTGTATTTAGTACACCAATTTTTTTAAAACAAAGGTGGGACACCTGGGTGGCTCAGTCAGTTGAGTGTCCGGTGCTTGGTTTCGGCTCAGGTCATGATCTCAGGGGTGTGAGATCGAGCCCCTCATCGGGCTCTGTGCTCCTGCAGAGAGTCTGCTTGAAATTCTCTCTCCCTGTCCCTCTGCCCCTTCCCCTACTCACATGCACGCTTGTTCTCAGTCTTAAAAAAAAAAAAAAAAAATTGTTGACAACATCAAGAATTAAAGTGTTTTCCTTCTTTGTAAAATAAACTTGCCTCATTCTTGTCACATAACCAGAGCAAATATCTTTTCTATGCCTTGGCAAATTGGCATTTTCCTTTCTAATTTTGGATCAGCTTTCAACATTTTATTATTTTTGTTTTCGATGTTGTGAAATATCTCCTCGTGTTCCTTTAACAACCGTGAAGTACCTCTGAGTTCTTTTAATGTGAAGTTTCTCGATGCATCTGGGAGACGCTTGTCCTTTCCACGTACCCGCTGTCCTCATTCAGGCCCTAAGTCGTCCTTCCCCTAGCTGAGCACTGCACTGACAGTCCCCGTTCCCAGGTGGCTACTTCTGTACCTCCATTATGTTAGATTCCGTTTCTACATCCAGTGTTAGCACTTTTGTGTCTTTGCTTCACTTTCACTTTTCGCCAATTTCCTCTTTCAGTGATACATTTCAAATATACATTTTGCTGTCTATCTGCAAGCTAAAAAACAGATGCTTGGGGGCCAGTCGGTGACAGACTTTGAAACAAATGAGATGATTGTCACTGCTCACTGTGCATGAGTTGTTTATGTGGTAGTCGGTGCACTGAGCAGCCCGGCAGTGAGTTTGTGCTTCCTGTAATTCCTCACAGTTAAATTCGGTAACTGGAATTTGAACCATGTTGTTGAGGGACTGGGTTATTTAACTAAACAGTGTTAACTGAAATTCACCCTTATCAGAGCCCCGCAAAGGGACAGCTGCCTATATATCAAGGAAGACAGGATTCATTTTGTCAAATGGGGATTTAACAATGTGGGGGGATCCAAGTGGGATCTCCCCACTTCAGGGGAATGGGAAGAGCAGGAAAATCCAACGGGAGGGGACTTAAGAGAGTGGGAGGATGGCAACTACTTGTGGTGAGCATATCATAAGGTAGAAACCTGTGGAATTACTATGTTGTGCACATGAAACTGTGTCAACTATATGGAAATAAAATTAAAGAAAAAAAATGAATGGGAGGAGAGGAATTTGAGACTGGAAGTATGGACAACTTTTTTGAGGAAGTTTTGTGCAAAGGGGAAGAGACATGGGCAGTAGCTGACAGAGGAACAGGAGAAGCTTTTGTTTATTCTTAAGATAAAATAAACAGCATGTTTATACAAAAATGGGAATGATTGTGCAGAGAGGGAAACTGACATATGTGTAAGAGGGGAGCTTTGTGGAGTGTGTGTGAGAGATGGGACATGGAACCTGGTGGAGGAATGAGCTTTAAGATAGAAGCACCAAGCATTCATCTGGTGGTTGTTCTCAAACTCTTTGGTCTCAGAGCACCTGTCTACTAAAAATTAGGGAGGACCACAAAGAGTTTTTTTTGTGTGTGGTTTATATCTATCAATATTTACCATAATAAAAATTATATCTGAGAAATTAAGAATAGTCATTAATTTGTTTCAAAAAATAATAAACCCATTCCATGTTAACATAAATAATAGTGTTTTATAAAAAAATAACTATTTTCCAACAGTCAACAAAACAAAGAGGCAACCCACAGAATGGGAGAAGATATTTGCAAATGACACTACAGATAAAGGACTGGTATCCAGGATCTATAAAGAACTTCTCAAACTCAACACCCAAAAAACAAATAATCAAGTCAAAAAATGGGCAGAAGGCATGAACAGACATTTCTCCAAAGAAGACATAAAAATGGCTAATAGACACATGAAAAAATGTTCATCATCATTAGCCATCAGGGAAATTCAAATCAAAACCACCCTGAGATACCACCTTACACCAGTTAGAATGGCAAAAATTGACAAGGCAAGAAACAACAAATGTTGGAGAGGTTGTGGAGAAAGGGGAACCCTCTTACACTGTTGGTAGGAATGCAAGTTGGTACAGCCACTTTGGAAAACAGTGTGGAGGTGCCTCAAAAAATTAAAAATAGAGCTGCCCTATGACTCAGCGATTGCACTACTGGGTATTTACCCCAAAGACACAGATGTAGTGAAAAGAAGGGCCATATGCACCCTAATGTTCATAGCAGCAATGTCCGCAGCTAGAGCGGACTGTGGAAAGAGCCAAGATGCCCTTCAACAGATGAATGGATAAAGAAGATGTGGTCCATATATACAATGGAATATTACTCAGGCACCAGAAAGGATGAATACCCAACTTTTACATCAACATGGATGGGACTGGAAATTATGCTAAGTGAAATAAGTCAAGCAGAGAAAGTCAATTATCACATGGTTTCACTTATTTGTGGAACATAAGGAATAGCATGGAGGACATTGGAAAGAAGGGAAAAATGAAGGGGGGAGGGAGAGATGAATCATGAGAGACTATGGACTCTGAGAAACAAACAGCGTTTTTTTTTTTTTTTAAGATTTTATTTATTTATT